TTCTCATATCCTATTACGAATATTTGCGATATATGTAATTGCGGCTTTATCAAATGCATATACAATACTATCACAGTAAGTGTTAAATACAACAATTTCGAGGATCTATATGTGTAATGATATGAATGAATATGCGATATGATATGAATGAAATAAATACGTATGATTAAGGTGTTCAAAGTCGAGCTCGCCTGCGATTTCAAAGCAAATGAAGACTTTTCACAGCTCTTTACCCACTTGTTGTCTGTATATAGGCTAAGGCGAAAGTTTCTGTATATACGTACATATACATATATTGTAAGTTTGTTTCTCCCCTCTCTGTGAATTGTGAATAAAGCATCTTACTCAAAAGCCTCAAGTCTCCATATATTGCATTAACTATTTATACAATAAGGAGATATACACACACACCTACACACACACACACACACACACACTGTTAGCATAGGACGCAACAGATTGATGAAATCTCCACCGATTAGCTGAGCGGAGCGTCGCAGCTTTGGGCCAAATTTCTCTGTCAAAAGATGAGAAAAAATTCATATGTAAATATAAATAATTCGTTTGCCTAGCGGCCAAAACAACGTTTTGCCAATGCTGCAAAGATGTCTGTAACATACTTAAGGCATACGCATCCTATACACCCTTACACACACACACACACTCAGATGCTAGATAGTCACCTTGAAGCTGTACTTATGCACGCTTGAAAGGGTATGATAGAAGAGAGAGAGAGAGAGAGAGAGAGAGAGAGAGAGAGTATATTGGTTGAGCTACACTCGCCACTCGCTTATATCGAGTATAGTTAGAGATCATTGAGTTAACGTATGCTATACCAGGGGGCGTGGCAAAACGAACTTGGCTGCAGCTCAAGGTTTGTGAGGGTTTTGGCTGTTGAGCATGTTTCCGCTATAATTCTATTTACTATATAGTACTTGGCATATATTATATTATTTTAATCGTAGCTTTACATAAGAATAATACTTAGATATAACGATGTTTCTTTGTTAGACTGTCTTATACAGAGCTCAATTTATATATTACAAATTTCTAGAATTTCAAACTTTTGTTGTATACCTTAAACCCATGATCCTGTGAAGTAACTATATTCCTTATTATAAATAAGATGATATTATTATGCTATTCCAATTCGATATCCGAATTGATATGGTGCAATAGAATATGGACAAACCCTTAAGTCATATATAGAAGGGCTTAAGGTAAAAAATATTTTAAATTTTAGCTTATCTCTGCTGGATGAGCGCGTATTCGACAGTCGTTGCTGCTCAGCCTTCGAGTTATTGTTGTTGCGCTATAAATTTTTGATAAGTAACAAATTTTGAATAAATTGCATTCGCTCTTATTTACTTTATCTGTGAGTGTGCGCATGTATATGTGTGTGTGTGGGAGTGTATGTGTGCGTGTGTGTCAAAGTAATTGAGCATCTGAGCTCGCCTCCTGCGCCTCCTGCGCCATGGCCAACGCGAACGAAATCGCTTGAGGCTTGCGCCACTAATATTTGCATAGATGTGCGCACACAATATATGTCTCTTATGAATATCCAAGCACACACACACATACAGTTATACTCACATGTGTGTGTGTGCTATAGAAATGTGTATAATACAACTCGTATGCCAAAATATTTATTTATGTAGCAAAAATCATGCACTTACGCTGAGCGAAACGAATTTGTCGATTTCTCATGTCCTTCAGGCGCTGACGCTCCATCAGCCTCCCGCTGCTCCCTCTAGCTCCTTTAAGGCATGGAACACACATATCGAACATCTATCGAGCCAGCGCCAGCTGTCACAACAATTTATTAATCATGCATTAATCGCTTGCAGCTAATTACAAACCTGAAACGTTGCCCCACAAAATGCATAATAAATTTTGTAATTTTGTGATTTTGCAATCTCTGCTTTAAGCGAATTATAAATTGCAGATAGAAGTGCATTAGCCTAGGCCTCCTTCCTATATAAATTCATTTTAATTGACTTACCCAAGCAGTTGGTTGTCAAAGCAAAAGCCAGGCAGAGCCTTGACAGCAAACAGCATTTGGCTTCGAGCTCGTTCACGGCATAATAAATCCAAGAAATTAAGTTTTCCTCTTCATTTGGTTAGTAGAAAGCATTTAAGTAAAATAATTAAAGTGTATAAATGAATTGTGAAAATATACATATATAGGAAATATTTTATTTATTTATTATTGACTTGAACGTCGATGGATGAAGTTGGAGCTGGGATCAACTTTCGTATTTGCTTAGCTTTCTCGTGGGCAGACGTAGACGCACTCATTTGTTACACTTGTACCCACAGAGACAGGATTCTTCTCCTTGAAGAGGCTTCGTCGGAAACGACCCACCCATCTGTAAAGTCGTAAAATCCGCCGCGAATTGCGACCAATAGCTGGGCAACAATGCACTTTATTTTCCTTAGAGTCAATTTGACTGTCCTCTGTATGTCTTATCTCTCCATGATAGTCTCTTGCATAGGGAAATTTCAATAAAATTAGTTAGCCTCTCAATGATTACATTAATCAATCAGCCCAAGCATAATCTGTTTCATTTAGGGACAGAGCTACAATGAACGATGCAAAGACATTGCCAGCTCCATGTCAACTCACAATGCCCCAAGACTTTGGCAGATGCGAGCCCAATGAATCCCATTATACGCCTTGCCCCTATCTCTCTTTCGCTTTCTCTCTGTTTTTATAAATCAGCCCCTAAGAAGCTGTTTGTGAGTGAGTCTCAAAGGAAAATCAATTCTGTAGTTTTGCATATGCTATAACACATTATCTGTACTTTAAAACAAATATAAATAAAATGTGTTTGCCAAATCGAACTTTTGGCCTCTTGCATGAGTAACAATTCGAGTGCGGGAAGCTGCATATAATATATATAAGTATATAAAAATATTGATAAATTTCAATAATTCTTAAATCGCTGTCGTTGCCTTAACATCTGCAACCCCCACACACACACACACACTCACAAACAGACTCCTTTGCAAACTCAAAGGCCAAACGTCTGTGGCTGACACGATTCGTTGCCTACTTTTAAGCGCAGCACAAGTGCAAGAGCACACACACACATACGCACACGCACACACACACACAGGAGAGCGCTGAAGCGGAACCGGAAGACAAAGGCAAACCAAAAGTTTTTGGTGCGAATGGCTGAAAAGTGCGCAGCGCTCTTTTAAAAAAAACACACACACACACACAATTGATGGTCATATCTAATGTGTGCTCATAAGCACATGTGTGTGAATGTGTGTGTATGTGTGCAAGTGTGAGCCTGTGTGTGTGTGTCTTTATGCAAATACATTAAATAGGCCAACTTTTGTTAAGTTTGTAATATGAATGATGTAAGCCGCATGTATGCCCCAAACACACACACATACAAACAAACACAACCACACACACACACACACGCACACACTCGTACACAGAGTGGTGCAAAGTGGTTTTTGGGTTTGGCTGGCGCAGCTATAATTGAATCGTCCGGTTATGCAGCCGCGCAGCTTTGCACATTGCAGCGCAGCGCTGAACCCAACCGCCGGGCAAATTATATTTTAAGCGAGCAAAAATACGAAGCAATTTGCTGTGGGTGGATGCCGAGGATACGGGTGGCTACGGGTGGTTACGGGTGCCGGCTGCGGCTGTGGGTTGTGCCAAGCACATTTTACAAATTTGCTGCTATTGCTGCTGTTGTTGTTGTTGTTGTTGTTGTTGTGCTCTTGGCTCTGTTTAATGTGCTAAATAAGTTCGTCTTGCCTTGCATCGACACGTCGCGTCCTCCGCATTTCTTGGCCTCACTGATTGCAGGTATTCCTGCTGCCGGACGGCAAATAGTTTTATTGCTGTTCTTAGCTAAAATAAGAAATCGAATTTCATTAAATTGAATTTCTGCGCCATTGGCATGCACGTTCAGTGTCCGACCCACGAGCTGAACAGGACTCGTGTTTGCAGCACGTGAGCGGAAATTCCAAAACAACATCATAAAATATCCAATACAGCTCTATTCATACAGGTAAGCGGCTGCCAGATATGCTATGGATCAAGCTAGAGAGCCCTAAATGCCTCAAGTTCTTTGATTGATGGACATAAATTGTGCATGCAACACAGATCAATGTAACGCACTCCGTCCGCCTGTCCGGCAGACTGTCCGTCGGCCTATACATATATGAGTGCGTAGATATAGAGAACGTACACGTGCATTAGGAGCTGGACTTAAAAATAGAGAGAATAAATAAACAGACTCAAAAGTTGGCTGTTAAGCTCTTTCATTAAGCATATCACTTTATTGCCAACGGAGTGTAAATACATATACATATATATACATATGTGTGTCATCGCCCCATTGAGTATTAAAATTTGGTTGCATTAAAATATATGCAGTTGGCAGAAGACCCCAGAAAAAATATATATTCATAGCCAAAACGACGAGAAATACCAGGCGAACATAAGTGATTAGTAGGGTGCAAAATACTAGTTAACAGTAGAGTATCAGAGCACTGTTAACATAGGTAACAGAATAATGTTACCTAACAGCATATTAACAGAACTATGTTAACTAACAGAATTATGTAAACTAACAGAATCCTGTTAACTTAACAGCAAGTTAAAATAATTCTGTTAATTTAACAGCAGAGCAACAGAATTATGTTAACTTAACAGCAGATTAACAGAGATCTGTTAACTTAACAGCGGGTTAACAGAATTATGTTAACTTAACAGGATTCTGTTAACTGACTGTTAACCCATATTTGTCAACCTGCTACACACTTCTGTTCGCCTGGTACTTCTGAGACTAGCCGTTCAAATTTTGACCCAGCGCGTTGCAACGGCCACAACAACCGCCCCGTACGCTATGCAACGATATTTTGAATATTGACCGTTGATTTTTAAACATTAACTGCCAGCAAAGAAGCCCTGTTAAATGAAAACACAGCTTGATTGATTATTGAAAAACATTGTTTATTGATTTTTATGTATTAAATCTACATTATTTACATAATTTACATGTTACACTTAATACTATAAAATATTTTTGGCTTATATGACTATATTTCTGCTAAATTATATAGAATCTAAACTCTAGACTGATGTTTTTGGACACTGTTGAGTGAAGATCAGCTATACTCTGAAAGTATAAGAGAGAAAGGCAGATATAGATGAATGCTTTCGAGCTGGGATATGTTCGTACTTACTTTATAATGACTCATGATGTCTATCTCTGTTTATCAGACCCAAGCTTTCTTTTGTTTTACGCCTTCATCTCTTAAAGAATGCGATCCAGAATAATGATGTTATTGGATATTCTTGGCTGAGAAAGCATTATAATCTGAAAGCAAAAGTGAATTAGAATTAGAATACAATGAACTGCTAGAGGATTGGCCTCGGTGTGGGTTCGCACTTACCTTGTGTTGACTCATGATGAATACTGATGTCTGCTCCAACTCTGCTTTTCAAATCTGATCAAAGGAAGACTATCCCATAGGAGAAGGTGACGTGACATGACATGCTTGCAGCTCTATACGAATATACATACATTACTAATACAAAATTCTAAAGGAAATCGCAACATGAAAATGTTTACAATACATTTATAAATTTATTTGATAGCTTTTAATTTTCTTTTACAAAAATACAACCAATTTGGAAGATTGCATTAAATTTAGTCGTGTCTTCATTTGGTTTTTGGTATAAAATACTCGTGGAACGACGAGTTCCACAACAATACAAGACCTTGGAATGAATATATACATATATATACATGGGCGTATAAAATATAGTTATATACATATATATGTATGTATATGTCGATAGGAATACATTCTGTACACGGGAAGCTCGTTGGCTCACTGTGTCTGGCCGATGACCTTTAGATAGTGTATTAGGTGCTGGCCAATGTTTGGCTTGATGTAGAAGATGCACTGCGTCTGGCGGCGCAGTTGGTCGTCGCGCGCCTGGTCCTGGTCGTGCAGCTGCAGCAGATCGCTCAACGAATCATTGCACATAGGTCCATGGACACGCGAGGCATTCAGGAAGCTAATGATGCGTTCATTGGTGAACTTCATTTGCTGCGCGAATGAAACGGAAAAAGTCATGAGAAAAAATAATTGGATTAGGTTAGTGTTGGTACTTACGCCTTCCATGTCATCCGACTGCTCCGGCTTTAGACTCAGGTACAGCTTGGACGAATCCTCGCGGTCGGCCAGCACCTCCAGCTTGAGCACAGATGAAATGAACTTCAGGTCATCGCACTTGAGCTCCATTAATCGCAACATGAAAATGTTTACAATACATTTATAAATTTATTTGATAGCTTTTAATTTTCTTTTACAAAAATACAACCAATTTGGAAGATTGCATTAAATTTAGTCGTGTCTTCATTTGGTTTTTGGTATAAAATACTCGTGGAACGACGAGTTCCACAACAATACAAGACCTTGGAATGAATATATACATATATATACATGGGCGTATAAAATATAGTTATATACATATATATGTATGTATATGTCGATAGGAATACATTCTGTACACGGGAAGCTCGTTGGCTCACTGTGTCTGGCCGATGACCTTTAGATAGTGTATTAGGTGCTGGCCAATGTTTGGCTTGATGTAGAAGATGCACTGCGTCTGGCGGCGCAGTTGGTCGTCGCGCGCCTGGTCCTGGTCGTGCAGCTGCAGCAGATCGCTCAACGAATCATTGCACATAGGTCCATGGACACGCGAGGCATTCAGGAAGCTAATGATGCGTTCATTGGTGAACTTCATTTGCTGCGCGAATGAAACGGAAAAAGTCATGAGAAAAAATAATTGGATTAGGTTAGTGTTGGTACTTACGCCTTCCATGTCATCCGACTGCTCCGGCTTTAGACTCAGGTACAGCTTGGACGAATCCTCGCGGTCGGCCAGCACCTCCAGCTTGAGCACAGATGAAATGAACTTCAGGTCATCGCACTTGAGCTCCATTATTACCAGCACCGTGGAGGTCAAGTAGAGCAAGGCCGGATGCAGTTGACCATTGAGCAGGAGCGTGATCTCATGGAAGAACAACAGCTGATCGCTGCTCAGCTTCTCGTGCAGAAAACGCCAGATGCGATACGAACTGTTGTGCAGCGCCACGTTGCTCGTCACGCTCGGCTCCACCTGCAGCGGCATGGCATTGAAGCCCACTGTGTGCAGGACGCCCTGGCCGGTTAGGGCCAACATCTCGGCAGCCCCGCTGATCGGTTTGGTCAGGGCGCCGACAATGCCTTTGGTTAGACCCGTTAGCACGCCCACAGAGCTACGCGCCTCCAATGTGTGATGGGCCAAGCCACCGACAGCGCCTAGCAGGCTGATGCCCAGCCCGGTCAAGCCCTGAGTCAGGCCATCGGCAAAGCCCTGGGGACGTGCGCGCCGTCTCGCCTCAGTCAGCTCAATGTGCTCCGAGTCCAGCGTGAGCCTATCCAGATTGCGAGCCACCGAGCCGGCCAGCTTGGTCACCGAGTTGACCGTGCCTGCGGTGACATTGCGCAGCAGCGAGGCCGAGCCCTGGGTAATGCCCACCACGAAGCCCCACGGGCCGCGGAACAGGCCTTGCACGGGCATCGAAATGAAGTCGCGCAGACCCGTGGTGAAGGAGCGCGCCAGTCCGCTGGGACTGCCCAAGATCTCCAGCGAGCCCACCACCCATCCAGCCCCGAAAATGGCTCCGCTCAGGTAGTGCAGCCCCAGGGACTGGCCGAAGCGCAAGGGCACGGTGAGAATCTGCTGCCGCTCGTAGCGGGAGAAGGAGAGTGGCGAATGGTCCAGGGCGATGTAGAGACGCGACGATGTGTGCACCGAGAGCAGCAGACTGAGCGGCTCCACGACGAAGCTGTGCAGCCGCAGCGGCTCGGCAATGCACAAAGCCTGCCCAACCACTTGCTCGGGCAACCACGTCTGGCCCGCCTCCAGCTGCAGGCGTTTGCACTCCGGGTGTGGCGTATGGATGCAGTTGGAGGGCGCGCACTCGACCAGCGTGTCCAGCAGCTGGTTGAGATAGGCATCCTCGATGTAGACGCGCAGTGGCTGCAGCTTGCAGCACACAGCCTGCAGCTGCAGCTCGTCCTGGTAGAGGACAAAGGACAGCTCCGAAATGGGCTCGCCCAGCGTCTGGCTCCTGTAGAGCTCGTCCAGATCGTACACCTGGGGCAGGCAGCTGTCGCGCTTGTACAGTTTCTGAGCGCACAGCAGCACAGGGAAGTCGTATTTGCCATTGGAGTAGAGCTGGTTGTCCACCTGCAAGTTGGGCAGCTGCAGGTGAAGCTCGCGCCGCTCGTCGTTGTCGTCGTAGGCGAACATCATGTCGTCGGCATACATGTTGCAGACTTCAGTCTTGAGGGAGTCGCGCTGTCGGTCGTTCGTGTGCAGGCTGAAGACGAAGCTCTTGATGAACAGGCGGAATGAGATCTGAAGATTCGTTTCGCACTCCTCGCTCAGGTGGATGCAATCAACATTTTTGAGCTCCAGTTCCTGTTGGGTCCTCAATGGCAGCATCGAGTCCGACTCCTGCTGCTTCACGCTCTGCGGCAATACGGTCTGCGCGGCGTCCGGCTCTTTCAGGCGCGAGCGCAAGTCCTTGACGGAGAACTCCAGCTGCTGCGCTATATAGTAGATGTTGAAGCGTATCGCTCGATGCTTATCACAGATCACAACTTTGATATCGCCGTGGTTCGGCACGTGTATGAACTTCTTCCAGGACTTGTCCGTGCGAATGGGCTTCGACCAGCTGATCTTCTGCTTGCCACAGGCAACCATATCTACAAGAGAAGAGAGAGAGAGAGGGAGTTACTCAGCAAGACTTGAGCGTGTGTGGGTGACTCAGATGGTTACCAGTGTAGAGAGCCAGGGAAAGATTGCACATGGTGAACTCCACATCGGGAAAGTTGGCATACATTTGCGGCGGGGTATAATAGCACTTGCTGTACGGCTCTATCAGCTGATTCCACTCGAAGTGCTTGCCCGTGAACTCCGGCGAGGTGCAGGTCACGTTGCTGTTGCCCGAGGCGCTGGTCTGAGCCACAATGAACCTCACATTCGTGTTGTTGTTGATGATTATCGCCGGCGACGAGTCCCTGAACACATTCAAGTAGTAAACATTGTCCTTTTCGATGAGGGTGCTCATCAGTGGTATCGAGTCGCTGCCATCTTGTATGTTGAAGCAGCGGCGCGTGAAGGGCATTGTCAGCGGAATGGGAATGGATATCTTCTCCCCCCCTTCAACAGAGAAGCAGACGAAATACACAAAGGCCGTATCACAGGTGTGCTTCGATTTGTGCGCATTGAGATCGTGGAATTTCTCAATGGTAGCTCCAATATTGCTGCGAAGAAGAAGAAGAATGAGTATTCAGATAAGATGACAAACGAGAGTTCTCCACTTACGAATGTGGCATCTCCTGCACGGGCTTGAGTCTTTGGCTGATGGAGTTAAACTCCAACGAACTTATCTCATCACGGCCCGAGGTCTCCTTGTGATCCATGGTCAGTGGCAGAGCAGTCAGCGTGATGTCCGTGCAGTTGGCTATCACGTACTTGGATCGCAGCTTGAACACGCGCCGTGCGTCATCGAGTCTGAAGTCGAGCAGCAAACGCAGCACCTCGTCGTTGCGCACCAGGACTATGTCCACGTAGGAGTTGGCGCGCAGAAGCACATGGCGGCCCGATCCACTGGGTCGCTCAGAGCTCGCCTGACCGTGTTGCTCCACGCAAATGGCCATCGAGGAGACCCAATTGGAGCCGAAGGGCGCGTCGATGGTGAAGTGACCGCTCAGCACAGGCAGCATTTCCAAGCAGCCTGCGCGGACCTTGTGCCGCACTCCAGCCGAGACCAGGCAGATGCTGACATCCAGATTCGTGTCATTGATGAACATGGCCCAGGGAGCTACCTCGAGGCCCAGCGTGCAGGAGAACTCGCGCGTTGCCTGAGCACGATACTGAACATCCAGCATGCTGAGCAATTCGTAGGGCCGCTGCACGCGCAGCTCCTCGGCATCGTTCAATGGCCACTTGGCCCTGACGCTCTTATCCAGCCGATCCAGAGTGCGCTCAATGGTCCAGTCCGCTGGGTTGTAATGGAAGAACTTGTGCCAGTCCATCGACTTCAGCATGAAGGTATATTCACTTTTCGAATTGGACCCCAGAGCAGAACTAAAACAGATTAGAGAAGCATTAGGAAGTTAAAGGGATGGTGAAATGCTACACCTACGGAAATTCAAATTTCACACAGTGCTCCGTGGAGTGGGTTGTGGCCGTGTTCAGGGGCAGACGACCGCCCTCGCCGGCAATAGTGAGCTTTTCCTGCGTGCTGCTCTCTGTGGCCTGCAGCTCACAGCTGAGCAAATTGCAGATCTCGAATATGGGCCAGATGCTGACGAGAATGCGTTGCGGCTTGAAGTCGTCAGCCTCAACTCCAGAGGCAAGCTCAATGTCCTCTCTTAGGATGCGCACCCACAAGCTGACGAACTGCTGCGACGTCTGGGTGGGCACCTTAACCAGCCAGGGCAGACTATTGTTCGGCTTGAGCGGGATATCACCAGTGCGTCCCTTGGCGTTCAGCGAACTTAGCTTGAGCCTAGAAGAAAAGAAAACCATTAGACGCATTGCTTTCTTCTGTATGCCCATTGCCATACCTCATGTTGACCTGTTCGTTGCGCTGCACCTGCTGGTAGAAGGATATGCGACCATTGGGCACTAGCAGATGCGCCAGAGCACTCGCTGCCTGCTCATCCAGCTGCTTGCCCTCAGTGCGGAACTCAGTGAGCAGCTCGAAAGGCACCATGCTGACCAGTTCAATCTGCCCCTTGACCAGGATGTAGACCTGGGTGGCCGACAGCTTGCTCAGCTTTACGGTGATGCAGTACTGCCCGACGCGCAAGTGATGCACACGATGCTCGTCCTCGAACTTGAGGGCAATCGCCAGCGATTCGCTGCTGTCCAGCGAGTGCGTTTCCAGGTCTTCAATGTAGAACGTCAGCTCCTGGCTCTGGGCATCGTTGCAGAAGTAATAGGGACGCAGCTCCTGCGGCACCACAGTGATGCGCTCGTTGGTGCCCGTCTGGCCGAAGACGAAGTGCGTTTGCATGCGATTCACGATGACGCACCTGGGCATCAGGGTGTGCACCGGGTCGTGCTGCTGCTGCTGCTGCTGCAGTAGCTCTGTCCAGTGCTGCTTGGAGCAGAGCAGCGTGTGGATCACACAGGGGCCACAATTGAAGCGCAGCTTGTCCAGCAACAGGTTGGCCTGAAGCAAGCGCTTTGTCGCATTGAAGCGCAAATAGCTCTGAAAGCTCATCGGCTCCATGATGTCCATCATGTTGAGCGACCCATAGTCTAGGCACTTGATTCTGCCTCGGAAGTTCAGCTCGGCGCTGTAGTTGTTGCGCGTGTAGATCGCCGAGTGCAGCTGCAGATCATCGACGTTGATGCTGAGAAACGTCTGCGTGATGTTTGTGGTGCGTCGCAGGAAGTATTTCTGCAGCGGAGCGGGCAGCACACTCGATGCATCCGGCTGGTTGAGGAAGTTCAGCTCCACATACTGACAGCTGAGCAGGAGCTGCAGCTTCGGCACCAGCTCTGCCTGAAAGATGGTATCGATGCGCATGCAGCCAACCAGGACCTTCGGATGCAATATGAAATCGTTGTCCGCATTGCCCTTATGATCCTGCAGGACGTGGCTGCTGTCGATCTGTGAGGAGAAAGTTGATTGTCATTAGCATTGAAAACGTTTAAAGGGGCTGATGGATGCCAGAGCTGCGTACCGATTGCAGGTCGTCATCCTCCTCCGGCACAAAGCAGGTGCCATCCACAGAGATCAGCGATTGCATGATCACCACGCGCCAAATGGTGGCGGTTATATTCCGATCCGGTGGCACCAGCTGCTTGGTGTCGATCTCCGAGAGCTCAAAGTCGCAGTAGTGCAAAAAGGTCTCGTGGGTCTCGCTAAAGTACTCCATGCGGCACTTGATATGAATGGGATTCTCGATCTACACAGACGAACCAGGCAATTAGTTTGGTTAGAGAAAGCACAGATTTGGCGCAGAACTTACGGGCATGGGCACTGGGTAGATATGTAGGCGGCTCATCTGGCGCGGCTGAGGGTAGCGCCAGCAAATGATGCCGTAGTTCTTCTTGATTATCTGCACCTGGTAGGGCATGGGCAGCACGGTGTCTGTGGTCAGGTCGACAAACTGGAAGGCGCCAGCGCTGTAAGAATAAATAATAAATTAAATAATGCAAATATTTAGAGTCGTTTAGGGGATAACAAACCGCAGATCATCCTGATAGAACTCCATCTTTGTTTTCGGCGTCGTCTTCGAGCGCACGATCTGATCCACGGATGGCGTATACCTTAAGAGCTCGCCGGGAGCCACTTTACGCGGCTCGCCCAGCACCGGACGATTGAGCAGAAACTGCTGCCATTGCTCACTGATGTATTGCCTGATGTTGTCGAGTCCAGCTTGGGCTTGGCGCAGGTGCAAGATGTTCTCAATGCTCGCATCCACATGCAGGACATTCAGCTTGAGCGTGACGCTGCTCAGCAGCTGGTCGCACCACGTCTCGCTGAGCAGATCGGCCGAGAGTCGCATTAGCAGCGGATGCAGCAATATCTTGTCGCCCGCCTGCACATAGACACAGCCCAGGGTTGACTTGACCGAAGCCTTCTGTGGCCGCGCGCTGAACTTGATGTGAGCATTGAGGTCCAGCCAGACGGCGCTGCAGTTGTAGCTCTGCTCATCGTCATAGAACTTGACCGTGATGCGATCGCAGGCCAAGTGCAGGCGATCCGCATTGAAGCACTGCAGCTTCAGCTGCCGCAATGGTGTCGTATGCACCACAGGCCGCTCGCTGCGCTGTGGAAAATAGGGCGTGGCACTGAGCATTGAGTAGATGCGAATCAAATCGCTGGACAACATTTTGATGCTGCTCTCGCACAGACTCAGCTCCATCGGCTTTCGCAGCTCAACATCCAGCTCCAGCTGCTCAAAGCGGTCCAATTGCGTGCGCACTGTCAGCAGGGGCGGCGGTATTCCCGAGCTGTCCAGCGTCCCGGGCTGTGTGTCGAAGACCGGCACACAGAACGTTTCATTAACAGTTGCTTTGCCCTCTGCATTCTCCTTGGCCAGATGAATGTTGAAATTGAAAATTGAGGCCTGGGTGATGCCCCCACGGTGCGTCTGCGCAGCCATAAAACTGGGCTGCGACACGGTGACCAATAGGAGCGGCCTCAGGGCGAGCTTTTCCTGCTCCTCCAGCACATCGTAGATCCGCAGCTCAAACTTGCCAGCCACGAAAGAAACGCTGCGTGGATAGATTAGCCTATGGCTGGACAGTTTCTGTGATTCCGTCTGCTGAATCTGCTGAGCACCCCGCGCCGCAGCCCCGTACTTGGCCACATTAATGCCCGAGTCGCTCTGGCAGGAGCCCAGCGCGGTGGCACTGCCGCTCTTGGCATCCACGAATTTATCCCGTAGCTGCGTTTGCAGCCACTGTCGACTGCTCTGCTGTGGAGCCTGTAATCCTGTGCCATCTCTGCCAGAGCCGGTGATATCTGTTGAATCCTTAGCGGCCGGGCAAACATTCAGGCAAGGCTGCTCCACGATGCTAGAAATGAGAATCTATTAGTAAATGCCAGGAATGCCCTGCACCCACTTGGAACTTACCTGCGCCAACGTTGAACTCGATTCAATATCCCAGAAATCATATGAATCTGATGCGTATTCAGTGTGGCCACAAAGTCCGTCACACAATTGAACTCGACACTCTCGCCGCAGACCAGGAAGCGTTCGTAGCTGATGGCTGGCGCATAGACAATGATGAAGTCAAAGTCCTTGAATATGTCCATCTGCTCAAGCTCTGTGGATTGCGACTGCTTGTTCCACTCCAAGGCCGGATTGCTGTGCTTATTGGAGAGCAACTTTTCCAGGCGGAACTTTTGGGTCTGCAGCCAATTGCCAGAGGACAAGGAAATCTTGCGCACACTCAACTCGTACTGACGATCCTCGACCAAACCACCGGGCGTGCCAAGCATGTTCAGCTCAGCTGCTTTGTTGTAGATGTCCTGGCGGATGGGTTGACGCACTAAGGGGTTCTCCACACTTGGAGTCAAGTTAATGTTCTCGATCTGCAAAGGTCACAGATTAGCTATTAAATTATTCTGAATAATTTGCTCATTTAGTTACCCGTAGCAGCAACACGCTGCAGCACCTTTTATCCGTCTCCACCGGCACATAGATGTAGATGCCCTTGCTATTCAGATGCACGATGGGCAACTCGTGCACAGTTCGCAGGCAATCTTTCCGCGCCTGATTTGGCCTCGCAGCCACCTCAGCAGGCTGGGCGTTGCAGAGCATGTCAATGAGCTCGCATTGGGATAACAGGAATTCGGTAATACGATCCACATGCAATATCATCTCGATCGGCTGCACCTCGATCAGCAGCTCCGAGATCGTGCGACGTTTGCTGTGTATATTGCGCGCCCCGATCTTCGAGTACAGATCCTGCAGGTTGACCGTTGTAACCACTATACTGATCAGTGGCAAATTCGTGCTATCTCCCAGCACTTTGATGTGGAAATCATCCATGAGTCTCCAGTCGTCCGGATCTATTGCTTCGTAGTAGTTGAGGCTCACGTTCTCCAGTTTGGTGGTGATCTTTGTGAAATCCTCATGTCTGTCCACATTCAGCAACAGATCCTCTAGGCTGAGCAACAGTTTTCGTTGCCTTTGGCCACTGCAGCTCTCCACTTCCAAGGATATACGTGGTATAGTCCACTGACAGAAGAAGGTCAAGATGCCCTTGGTCTTGAGATCTATGCAAAATAAAATAGAAAATAAATTGTAAGCAGGGTTGAACTGTGAGAGTGCCCGACTATATTCCCGATAAAGACTAGTGTCCTAACTAACTCCCTTATATATGTTTGCTTGAAAGTCTTAAGCCTTAGCCATAGCTCACCAGGAGTCTCAACCATTGGCTCCACATTAGCTTTCAACTCCAGGAACTCCTTCAGGACGCTATAATTCTGTGCGCTGCCCGTGTAAATTTCCAAATTGCATTTGCGTTCAGCTTCATTGCTAGGGGATGGACGGGCTGTGAATGTGCTCAGCGAATTACCGACTGCATTCACAATTGTAAAGTGTTCACTCAAGAGCTTCAACTATAAATTGAAATGGATTAAGTATCGGATCGATGGAAGGGTTTTTAAAGACCTACGTGACGTGCGAAGATATTTATGGGTGACATATCCATATGGACGTTGACTGAATATGTGATGGGCCACTGCTGATCCTCTGGGTCGGGCTCTACATGCCTCAGCTTCGCTGGATTCGACAATTTGTGAGACAAGGCCAAGGCGATTGTTGTGCGCACAGGTTCCACAATCATATCCACTGTATCGGGCGGCAGATGATAGGCGACGGAGAAGTCATTGGCCTCCATTACCAAATTGCACAGCTCCACCTCGTTGTTCACGTTGATCACGGTTCGTATGCTGCCGCGCACCACCTCGTCGCCGTTGCTGGACTTGATCCGCAGGCGCGATAATTGAATGGAAGTGTATTCCACTTGTAAGTCCTTGCTGTTCCTGCGCAGCATCACATCACACACATCGATTCTCGCTTTGCTCAGTTCGAACACCACAACCATTTTATTCAGCCGGCTTATCAAATCAATCACGCCCATAGAGTCCATGCTGGAGGTTGACTCCATTTTCGGCATCAATTTAGCTGGTTCTATGTACGTGACGGGCTTGTCGTCGCGTTCGGAGCTCGCGTGTATTGTCTCCGCCGGATTCGAGATCTTACGGCTGTTCGAGCGACTAGTCCGACGCAAATTCACCTCACTCTGTACCAGCTTGGGCACTGAAGTCATCGATGCGTAGGAGGGAAACCGCTCTGACTGACTAAAACTATCAAAGTCGGCATCCAGATCTATGGAATATAAGACGTCAATGAGTTTAGGCTACGATTCATTGGTTCCCACGCAATAAATACCCACCATTTTCGATGCACTGCTCGGGATTAGCGAAAGAGTTGAGGAACTGAAGCAAATATATATCTAGGGTTAGGCGAAAGCTATCGATCCAAATGCATATGGCAGTCGCTGGCGACACTTTGCTGGTGGAGCTCGATGCCTGCTGCGGGAACTGAAGCTGCAGCTCCAGCCATTTGTTATTGCTGCCCTTATTGGTCGAGATGATCACGTTGCGAATGTTCATCATTGTGTGATACACGTCGGTGTTCAGGTTACGCAGCGAGAACAGCATCGCCAGGTGCGTCTTATATTTGAGATAGTTGAGCTGCACCTTGGTGATCAACGTTTGAAGCTTGATCACATCGGCGGACGCATTCGCCTCGGCCACCATCTTCGCCAGGCCGCCCAGCTGAGCTCCATTGTAGTCGAGTATCAGTGGCACGATTGTGTTCATCATGACAAGCTCACGCTTGGAGAACTCCACGTTGATCAGCTCCGTTTGTACATCAGCCTGCTGCATGGGAGCCGAATTGAATCTCTCATCGTTGGGCAGGAGCAGGCTCTTGAATTGCAGCTGCATGCTGGGTATATTCATCAGCTTCGCATGCCCCATTGCCGGCGTGGTATTCTGGGCCATCAACGTCAGATTTTTCACATTGAATTTGAAGTTGGTGTAACAGGAATCGATCAGCTCGCGCGGCTTCTCCTGCAGCTGCGTGATCAGCTGCACAAGACGTTTGGGATTCGCGGGAGCCGTAATGGAGCCCTCAGCCAAGGACATGTTCAGCTGTAAATAGGGCAGTAGGGACTGGTTGATAGTGGTGGATAAGCGATGTTGATTGGATGTCGTAGAGCTCTCGGCACTCTGCTGCCTGGGAAAGAGCTTCACAGTCATGTCACGCAGCTCGATCCTATAGTTGCAGGTGGGCATAAAGCCGATTAGATACTCCAAATCGGCATAGGTCATATACTGGCTATTGGCCGCCTCCCGTTGCTCGTCTCTCACCGGGCTGCTGCTGCTGATTTCTCTGATTGGGGATTCTGCAGTATACCCTGTATAATCGTAAGGACGCAACAAATCACTAATTACATTTTTAACCTGCACAAACGACTGCGAAAAGTGGAATGTGATGCCAGCTGACAGCACTCGATACTTCATGCGCAAGCCCAGGTCTCTCAGTGGCGCCTCCGGCGTCTTTTGATTCTTCGCTGGCTTCGGGGCGCGACACTCGACAACATCGAACGCGAGCACCGGACTCCGGAAGAGCATATACTCGTCGGTGTGGCGTGCGAAATAGTCGTCATGGTTGTGGCCACACCAGACGCGATCCGCGAACTTGTACTGATCATCAAAGAGACTCTTGTCCACAAATGCCCGTGCGTTCTTGTGCTAAGTGTGGAGAAGACATTAAGCATTTCAGGTCAGGTGATCAGCAGTATAAACTATACGCGCTTAGTTATATTCCAAACTAACCTCCTTGGTGCTGACCAGATTGCGGTCGATTGGATCATCACTGCGATAGATACCCAACGGTTCCATGCAAATGCTGGACAGTCCCGCCCTCACGTTGGTCCAGTCGTTCTCCTTCAGCTGCGATCGCTCATAGTAAATGCCTCCCAGGCTGAGGCGCACGATTGGCGTATAGCGAATGCGCTTCAGGCCGCCCATGGCCTGATCGTTGATTAGCTCAGAGTTCTTGAGCTGGAAATTGAACTCCTCGGCATAGACACCTATGTCGAGGGCATGTCCAATCAGCTCCTCGGAGTTCGCGTTATTTCCATCAAAGCTGGGCAACAGATTCCAAGCACGCCAGAACATGGAGCCAGTCGCCTCACTTGTAGGAGCGGCGCCTGCGGTAGCGCCACTTGTCGATGCCACCGGCTGCTCTAAATTGAAAATGTTCTCCTCCTGTGCAGGCTCACTGGGCTTCAGTTCCAACAGTAACTTAACCAGTTTCATGACCATGGGCAGCTGCAGTGACGACACATTGATGTCCAGGGACTTGGTGAAGACACCAATGCGCTTGGTGCTCGACGTGCTGACCGTGTTGGCATTATGCTTCAACAGCACACGCAGCTCCAGGGTGCAACGGTAGAGTATGGGCTCTTGGCACACCTCAATACGTCCAGCCGTATTCCGCTTGTCGAGGCAAATAGTCAAATCAGAGACTTGAAGTAGCTTCCGCAAATACACATTCACCGGATGGACATCCACCATGGCTGGTTGCCAATGCTCGTCCGCAGCGCTGAAGTTCAAGTACTGCACGTTCATGGATACGACGATGTCGTCGTCCACATACTTCAATATGATGTTGTGACATTGCAGATTGATGTTGTTAATGATCTTGTTGACAACGCCTGATGGAGTGGGTGTCCCAGCTTGCTGCTGAGGCTCATCGCCTTCAACTGAGTTGCGTTTCCGACGCTGCTCCTCAAGCAGTGACGCACGTCTCTGCTTGCTCTCCTCATTCGGCAGTTTGGCAACGAATTCAATTGTGTTTATCTCAATGCGCACCGGCTCAGACGTCAGTTTTGTCCAGGGCACCTGAATGGAGAGTTCGTGTATGTGGCCGGATACGAGTTCAATGGGTAGATTCAGCTCTTCTTCGAGGACATCGAGTCGCAGATCTAAGTTATGGAATGATGCCTCGCCCTCCCATAGCGATACCTGTGCATCTTCATCGCGAATGTTTTTAACATATTTCGCCACGTAGTTAAGCAAAATTGGTGTTATATAGGACTCTAGTTTAAACATTATCGCGTCGTTCAACAGCGATAATTACACGATGATAATGCGCATTAACCAAATCTGCCTAGTCAATTGAACGATTCCGTTTTTAATTTAATGCATATTTCGTTAATTTTGTTATGTTTATAATGCCGAAAAGCAAAATAAAAACAAAATAGCATTTGCTAAAATGCTCAATTGTTTACTTTTGAGCACCGGCGCACAGTGTTGGCGAATACCGTAATCTGCCTGCCTTGCAGCACTGCTTGCACAATGTAGGTTATTCAAATAGAACTGATAAATATCATCTGTATGCTATGCCATTGAATTTGATGTACTTAATGTGCCCTTAAATACATTTCATAGTTATTGCTATCTCTAAATATTGTTTTAGTGTATTCAGTTAATTTCAACAATATCCTTCGCGAATTCGACAGCCTGTCGTTACGTGCAGCGCGTGCCACATCAGCTGTTCGATCACAATTGTTGACAACGCGGAACAGTTAAATATTCACTCTTAAAAATGCCACAAGTTACTAAATCTAACGAGGAATTTGGTGAGCAGCAGTAAACTTGAATTGACTTGATTCATATTAAACTCTTTGTGTTTCCCAGATGTGGTCAAATACTTTCTACAGTTGCTCGAGGATGATAAGGACATGTCCTCAGGCATAGCGGCCATCAAAACGCTGCTCATGATCTTGGAAAAGAAGCAATGTAAGCAAACACAGTCGATAAACAAATATTAAGTGGAATACATTTCTTGCACATTCGCAGTTGGCACCATACATATTTTGCACACCACAATGCGTGAGGCTGTGGCGGCCATGCGCAACACGGACCTGTCCATAGCCGCAATAGTTTCGGCGGGCGAGCTCTTCTGCCGTTTTATAACACTCAGCTTGGACGATAAGCATATGGAGGAGTGTCGGCAGATAATGTTGAATCGAGGCAAGATCTTCTTAACCAAGCTGCAAAACTCACGGCAAGTGATTTCACAGCAGGCTCAGCGTTTCATCAGCGATGGCTGTCGAATCCTCACACACTCCCGATCACGGGTCGTCCTCAAAGCACTGATAGCTGCATCGCAGAACAAAAAGACGTTTCATGTATTTGTGACGCAAGGCGGCATAGGGAACTCAGGGCAAGTACGCATAGGAAGGCGGACTCACATTTATTTAATATCCGATTTTTTTTTAGGGAGGAGATGGTGCAGGATTTGCAGGCAGCTGGCATTGATTGCACACTTATCCTAGACTCAGCAACGGGCTATGTTATGGAATCGGTTGACTTTGTCATGGTTGGCGCTGAGGCGATCGTTGAGAGCGGCGGCATTATCAATCGGATTGGCTCTTATACAATGGGCCTATGTGCGCGCGAAATGAAGAAACCCTTCTATGTGCTCTCTGAAAGTTTCAAGTTCTCTCGGCTGTATCCACTAAATCAGAGAGATTTGCCAAACGAGTACAAGGTGAGATAAGATTAAGAGATTGCTCTGAAGAGCTGTTGTTATGATATTTCTCTATTGGTTTTTAGTACTCCCGCAAGCATTTGAATGACATTTCAAAGGTGCATCCACTGGTCGATTATACGCCGCCTGCCTATATCACGCTGCTCTTCACGGACCTGGGCATTTTGACGCCATCGGCGGTTAGCGACGAATTGATCAAACTGTATATGTAAGGGTTGGCTAATAAAACGACATGTGGCTCTAATATAGATTCAAAATTGTGATTACACCGAAATATATAAATACGTTATAATAATGGCAATATAATACGTATACCAACCTAAGTTATTCAATGTACATGTTACTCTTAAAATTTATATATATATATGTGTATATATATTCGACTTATTAGAAGTGCATATCGCTGGCCGAGTAGGCGTCAAGATCATTCTCAAGTCCATACTCGGAGCCCAATTCATCATAGACATCTACGCTATAGCGAGATGTATCACTACCATCGCCGATCGTATACTCGCTGTTATACTCCTCAAGATCATCCGTATAAACATCGCTTTCCTCTTCCATGGCATGAGCACCGTGTGGCACCTGCTCCTCGAGGCCCTCCTCGGGCTCATCCAAATCACTAGCGTTCTGTGAACGAATATTAATACATTTAGTCAGTTTAACATTAATGTTAGCATTAACATTGCTCTGTTACCACTTGACCAGTTTGTATGTTAATCTCGATCTGCAAACGTATGTCCATGACCAGAAAAGCTGTTGTCACCAGCAGAGGTATGGTTAGGCGACTCTTCCAAGCCAAATCGGTAAGGAACAAAAAGACATTGCCAAACGTAGAGTCCATCATATTGTTTATATATATTTTAGTTCTGTTCTTGCTGCTGCTCGTCCACCTCTTGATGCCCCTCTTCCACCTCAAGCTCGTCGTACTTAATGATCCGCAATGTTTCGCCTACTGTGACCGCTTGAACGGGCAACAGATGACGATGCAGTCGACCGCTTTCGATGGGCGTATCAAAATCGAGCAGCTGCTCAAGTGTTTTCTCCGGCACACCGTTTGACGCTAGAAGCGAGCGCATGCAATCCTCCTTCTTCGCCTGCAGTGAGTCCAACAGTTTGGCTCCCTTTTGCACTTTCTGCAGTTTTCGCTCTGGACATCAACACTTGAAATTAATATAAAATATTTTGAGAAATGTATAGATATACCCACCTAGCAATTGCAAGTAGTTTGCCGAATCTGGCAAGGGCTCAAGTTGTTGTGGGCCTGTAACATTACTCTCCCTTAAGTCTAGATCGATATCCGCCGATGTCCGCCTTTTGGTCTCTTCTTTAATGGTGTTGCTTGTGAAATTGTCCTCAAATGTTTCAATCACTTTGCTGTTTCCGTTTTCTTGTTGTTTAATGCTGTTGCTTGTCACTTGCCAGGGGTCGGCTTGGCAAACTGACATGTTTCACTAACTAAAAACATTAACATCGGCTTTTAAGCAAATCGTTGTTATTATTTTCACTATGAAAGTGTCAGGAGAACATATACATAACCTAGAGATGAGCGCGTGATTGGATTCGTCTCACAAGATTCATTTCCGACTTAAGAATTAATAAAACACCGACGACACATCATATTTGCATTTTAGAGCTCTTCTGGTTGAAATTAAAGTCTTAAAATTATAACTTAGTAACATGAATTTACTTTCTATAGTTTCTTTAGGCGAAAGAATGTATGACAAACATACAATTTTATAACTTAGCAACTTCACCAACACTGTGCAAAAAAACAGCTGTGCCGATCCGAAGCCGAGAAGCACTGACCAGACAACAGTGCAAGAAGTCTAGTGGTTTATCAGAAATCTCGATTTATTCTAACCACGAAATCGATGTGCGTGTCACGAGTACAAGCCCAGCTTTGGAACTCATTTTACTAACTGACGAAAGCTCATTGCTATGTTAATAAAATGCTAGAAGCATTTATCAGCACTGAAAATTAAACAGCTGTGTTATCAAGAATCATTAAAATAAAAACATTTCCTAATTTGTCTTACAAATATTTGTATAATGGATATATCAGCGCTGTCAGAGCCAGTGGAATTTTCACCCACCGATTGGATTAATGCAAATTATAAGAAGTACATCGAGGAGAATAGCAAAAAAGAGGGCGCTTCTGCAACATCGTTCATACAAAGCTACGTGGCTAAGCTGCAGCTGTATGTGCAGCAGGTCAACTATGCTGTGGAGGAATCCAGCCAGCAGGTGGTTGCCAGCATGCCACGCATTGCCAAGGAAGCGGCGACACTCCAGTGCGATGTGGCACTGTTGCAGCAGAAGATGAGTGCGATGCGTCAGGAGATGGCGGCTGTTCAAGAAGAAACCGGCGATTGCATGGCCACCCTGGAGCGTTTGAATAATTTGCAGAGCAAGCTGCAGGCGGCCAAAGAATCGTTGCAGGAATCGGATGGTTGGGGCAATCTGCTCTCCGAACTGGAAGATTGCTTTGAACGCAATGATATGAAGGTAACTGAACTTTTCCAGATTCAATGGATCAGCTATATAAGATCCTTTTTTGCAGGGCGTTTGCGATAAACTGCGAGCACTGCAGAAGTCACTACAGGCTCAAGAGCAACTGCCTGGTCATGCCGAACGCCAAACCCAGGTGGAGGACTTCAAAAATCGCCTAGAGGCCATGGCATCGCCTAGCTTAGTTCAATGCTTTGCCGAATCAAATCTGGAACAGGCGCAACGGCATGTGCAAATCTTCAGCAGCATTCAGCGCTTGCCACAGCTACAGCAGTACTACCGAGCCGTCCAAAAGAATGTGTTGCAACTGCAATGGAAGCAGACCCTCGAGCTGCAGGCGAGTGAATCGCCGCAGCAGCATTTCCTCACGCTCTTCTACGATCAGCTCTTGGAGCATTGCCAACGCCAATTGAAATGGTGTGTGCAGCTGTTTGCAGATGAATCGATAGACGTGGCTCAGTCCCAGCCATTTCTGGTCATTGCGGAGCTATTACCAGCACTACAGCCAACACGGGATGCCCATATTCTGCAGCTGCTGAAGAGCTCTAATGAGCGGCTGGAGCTGTTGGCTCAATATGCGCAGGCCAATCAAAATTTCGTACTGCATCTGAACTCGATGATGAAGCAATCGTCGATTAGCTTGCCTGCCGAGCTGCATGGCCAACTGGCTGAGGCGATCTTTGAGTACTTTCACAAGTTTATACAGCAATATCCACGGCTCGAAGAGACGCAGCTGTCCACACAAGTGGATCGCCTGATATCGAATCAGTCGACGCCCAGTGATGCAGTGCGTCATCTAGAGGACAGCACTCGCAAGCTCTACGAGTGGCTGCACCAGGCGTGCGGGCGCTGCGAGGCTATAACCAACGACTTGGCCTTGTGCAAGCTGATTACGGTCCTCAATGGCATCTTCAAGCGGCAGCTGGAGAACTTCAGCCGCACACAGCGCCAGCTGAGCCTCAGCCTGGGTAGCAGCTCCAGCGAGAGCACAGCTCGCAGCGAAAATTGGTCGCTTCTCCAGTACACAATGTCCCAGCTGCAGTGCCTCGCTGATTTCCAGCAGCAGCTGCATCAGTTCGAGCAGCTGCTGCACTTGCGCATGAACAGCTTAGCCACCAAGCTGCAGCAACCAGCGAGTGGGCAGGAGATCAGTATCTACCAGACCTGCGAACGCGTTATGCATCAGCAGTTGCTCTCCACCATTGCCGACTACCAGCAGAAGAAGAGCGAAGCAACAGTGGCCACGAGCTCCGATAGCTTGGGCATCTTCCCACAGATCTATGCCACATTGAAGACTTATCTGGCGGAGACGCATGACATCACCTTAAACATACTGCTGCAGCCCATCGAGGCGCACCTGGCGCATATACGCCCGCCCGTCGAGGCGTACTCAAGTTCATCGGGCATCAACATGCCGGCGTTCAGCTACGCTCCACAAGAGAGCATCACGCAGATTGGCCAATATCTGCTCACGCTGCCACAGCATCTAGAACCGCTGCTGCTGTCGCCGTCAGCACTCCTGAAGCAAGCTCTCGAGCTCTGCAACATCAAGTACACCCAGGCGATACCCTGCGCTGATGTCCTGCTCTCCCTGGTCGTGGAGCAATGCTGTGTGATGTACCAGGCGCAGATATTGCAAATCAAATCCTTGCCCGCCTCATCGGCCACGCAGCTCAGCGTGGACATTGAGTACTTGTCCAACGTGCTCGAGGAACTAGGCTTGACCATCAATCTGCAGCTGTCCCAGATCCTGACTTTGCTGAAGGCTGCACCCGATCAGTACCTCAACTTGAGCTCTGGCTGCGAGCCGCGCCTGGTGACTGCCATACGACAAATGCGAAATATTATCTCCACGCAATAATTCAAATATATATAGTAGTAATTATATCATGTACAAATTATTTATATATATTCGTTGCTTGGACTTAACTAAGAGGTTGGGGGGTTCACTTCATCGGGCTGAGCTTCCGATTGCTTGTGAGACTGCCACCAGTCGCTGACGTATTGCCGCAGACTGGATAAAGCCAGCACCGAGTGGGTGTCCAGCTTTTCATCCTTGGCCAACTGATCGCAGTACTCGGAGCGGGAACAGGCGAAGGAGCCGCCGAAGGTGCGTAGATAACGGATGCTTGCTATGTGCTCTGGCCAGTGGCGAGATACGCAGTCGAGCAACATGTCCAGCTGCTGGCCAGGCAGCGCTCGATACTGGCCACTGGAGGCGGCGGCAGTGGTCTTCTGCAGCACATTGAGCAGACGGGCCAGACTGGGTATGGAGACTCGAGGCGAGAGCAGCGGCAACAGGTGCAACACCAGACGCTGTAAACGCAGCTGAACATGGGCATAATCCGGCAGCTCGGACTGACTGGCGGCCATGGCATACCATAGATTGTTGACAATGCTAATGATGCCCTCAATGATGTCGAACTGGTGGAACTGAGCGTCGCGTATGGCGCCCATTAGCCAGGATAGGATGCCAACGTGGTCCAGCATGATCTTCACAGCGCCAGGTATCTTCACGCACGTGGACAGCACGGAGAGGAGCAGCAGATTGGTGTCCAGAGTGGCCAGATTGGAGCCATAGAAGCTGAGCAGCACCTTAAACGTGTTCGTGGACACCAGCAGGAAGAGATCAGCGCTGCATTTGATGCCATGGCTCAGCAGCTGCACAATGAACTCTCTGAACTGCTGATGCTCCGGCTCCTGTGAGTAGAAGAAGATGTTGAACTCGGGTATGGTCTGGAAATTGAAGCTCTGCTTCAGCTGCAAGTACATCATGAGTCGCTTGTATAGCAAGTGCGTTGGATCCGTGCTTATGTTGAAGCTGTGCGCGATGAAGAGCACGGGAATCAGCGGCACACGAGGAGTTCCACCGTGAACGCGACGCTGTGCCAGCCAGTGGTTGCGCAGCTCAGCCAAGCCGGATTGTATATTGTCGTAGGCCTGCGTCCACAGGGGCTTTTCATAGAACTTGGATAGCTCGAAGTGGGCTCGATATCTCTGCTGGCAGCAGGCGGCCGCCAGGCGCATGTCCTTGTCCAAGGACGACAAGGCACAAAAGCTGACGGCGAGCAATCCATTCTGGACGGGCCACTGGGCCCGCACCGCTGACTCCGGCGCAAAGCAGTGAATCATCAGGGGCAGTATAAAGGCCGGATCATAGCACTGCTCGTAGATCTCGTCGCGCTTGGGACACAATCGACGCACATGCTGCTCGAATTGCGTGCAACCCTGCTCGATGCGCTGCTCGAGTATGTTGTCCCCAAACCTCTGGGATTTGGTTGCAGGATTCACAAACTCCAGCTCAGGCAACTGCTTGCTGGCGTGCAGCACGCGCCAGATGGGAAAGTTCTCAATGGTGTATTGGCAGGAGGCGCGCACAATCAGGGACAGCACCTGCGACACGTTCGTCTCCTGCTGCTGCAGCTTGGCACGCTCGTCCTCGTCAGCAGCCCGCAACGCGTAGTGAGCCACGGCACTCTCGCCCCAGATAAACGGACGATACTGCGACAAGTCCACATCGAAGCGTTCATAGTGCTCCAGCAGAGCCAAGGCGTAGCGGTCGGCGGGAGTCAAGCGAGCATGATAGGCGCCCAGGATGACGGGTATGTGGGCGCTGTGTAGGGCCGAAGGTGCCTTCCTCGCCAACGTCTCCAGCAGCTGCAGCAAGTGCGTCTTCACCTCGCTTAGCTCACCCAGCAAATGGTCATAGCAGCAGGAATGGGTGCAGGCCATCTCATACAGCAGGCCAGCATCTGCACTCTCTCCCGCCTCTTCTTCGTAGTCCGGGTAGAGCTGGTCGCACAGGTAGGCCAGCAGCTTGAGCAGCAGTCCATTGGTGTGGTCCTGCTCGGGTGTGCGATGTTGCTCCTCTGGCATGTGCATGGCCTGCTTCAGACAGCTGCGACAGAAGTTCAGCCAATGCGAAGCTGTCAACAGGCGGCTCCAGTCCAGCTGCGGCTCCTCCAGTTGGGACAATCGCTGCCACCAGTCGTAGCAATTGAAAGCCAGCTGCTCCAGCCTGTCGAGCTGCACGCTCTGCTTCTTCAGATCGAGCGCCAGCATTTGCACATTCAAGTTGACATAGCTCACAAAGACATTGGACTGCTGCACTGCATCCTTGCCACTGGCGAATGCCTGATTGTAAATCTCGTTGAGGACTCGCATTTGGAAGAGCTCCACAGCATCGAATTTCAGCTGCTTCTGACTGTAATCCAGGCACTCGGACTTGGGCATGCAGTTCGCAATGAGCGCAGCACTCGCCGCTGCATGCTCCCGGTAGATCAGGGCCGCCTTTTGCGGCTTCTCGATGCTCTTGAGTATGCCATTCTTGTAGCTCTGATAGCAGCGCTGCAGCAGCGACTGCTCCAGCGGATAGCCACGCTCAAATGCAACCTCCAGCAGTGGGTAAATCAATTCCTTTTGCTCCACATGCTCCGGCAGCAGCTGGGCAAACGTCGTAGCCAGCTGCGCGTTGCGATCCAAGAGCAGGCAGGCCAGTCGAATGGCTGACTTGCTTAGCTTGCGATTCGTGGTGGAGAAGAAGCTGTTGAAGAACTGTCCATTGCAGCCAGCCAGGTGATGATGCTGACTGCTCAGGAACTCCAGCAGCGCTGACTCCAGCTGCTCCAGCTGTTCGGCGAGCTGAACTCGCTCACAGAATTCGCCGTAATAGCTCTGCAGCTGCATTATGGACTGGCTGCAGTCGATGGGCTGTTCCAACTGAGCCAGCCGTCGCAGCAGGCGCACCATGAGCTCGTAGTAGTGATTCGTCTTGCCAGTTGGCAACAGGTAGTCCTCCGCCTGCAGCTTGCTGGTGAGCAGCTGCAACATTTCGGCACATTCTTTGGCATTCAGCTCAAAGGCATCCACAAGGGCAACGCACTCAAGGAGCTGAGCAGGCTGCGCAGCGGACTTTACGGCTTTCGGATCATTCAGCGCTATTTCCAGGGCAACCACCAGCTGCTGCCTGTAGTAGCCCGTGTAGCTGACAAACCTGTCCAGGCTGCGGCAGTGCTCGGTCAGCCGACGCAGGCAGCTCACATAATTCAGTTGCGTCTCGCTCGTCTCGCTGAGCAAGTGCGTTGCCCGGAGTTGACTCAGGCGAATGCTGTAGATGTAGTGGAGCAAGCGATGTGTGTGCGACTCCTCCTGCTGCTCATTCTCCAGCTCATCGGGCACCTTCACTTGCTGTCCACCATCCAGCTGCTGTGCTATTTGTAGCAGGCGAATCAAGCATTCAGATATCAGTTGCGCTTGTCGCGCCTCCAGCTGCTTGCTCTCGACCAGCTGGCAGAGCAAGTAGAGCAAGTCATGGGCGTAGATCATGTTGCGATGTGGATTACGCAGACTTATCTGCAGTTGCAGTTTGTTGCCGTCCTCTAGCTGCAGCTCGAAGTGTTCGCTGTCCGCAGGGTCAGACTTAAATATCTGGTCAAACGATTCACTCGAGGATTTCAGCACCGCCCTCTGCAATTGGGCCAATTGGGGCCAATGCTTAGCAATGCCAGCGGGCAGCTTGGACAGCTGTCCGACCTGCATGTATGACTCATGCTCCGACAGCTGTGTGCTGTACAGTTGCTTCACCTGCTCCGGCTTAGTGTGGTAGTGATAGAGCAACACAGAGACCAACTCCACATAGGCATCGTACGGCGGCTCTATGTCGACGCCCTGCAACAGCAGCGGCATCATTTTGCTCAATGTCAATGTCTCCACGTAAGCCTGGACTGTTTGGCCCTGTTCGATTTGCCTGAACAGCTTGCGCAGATTCTCCACATTGCTGGCCACCTCGGCTGCGTTCTGCGTGGGCAGCTGCTCCACCTTTGTTAGATCCAGTGAGAGTATGGTCAGCAAAATGCTGGTCACATTGTCCACAGTTTGGCCGTCGAAGCCAATTAATGCCTCCAGCCAGATGTCAATTTCGTAGCTCGACGAGTCGAACATGCCCGTGTTCTGGAGAAGACTGTGCAACAGCTCACCAGCCTCTGTTTTAACAGACAAATCGGATTCCAGCATATAGGCCTTGATAAACGACCGGAACACCTTTTCGAACAGCGGCTCCTGCGGATGCAGCGAGCGTGGGAAGAGCAACAAAATCGTTTTGATCGACTTCAGTTCCAGCTTAATCTTTTCCACCTTGCTCAAGAGTTCAGTTTGATCCGCGCTCTGCTCGACCGCCTCGTCGAAGTTCGTCTCGTACAACGGACGCAAGACATCCAAATAATCAAGAATTTGACTCGTTTTGTTAACGAATGCTCGATTCTCTTTGCACATGATCAGGATCAGCTCTAGAGTGATCGACAGATGATCCAGCACATTTACATCAGCTGACGATCGATCCTGAATACTTAGGTACAGCGAGTACAGTATGCCCTCGATAGGTGGGAAGTTGATCAGCAAATGATTGAGCAGCTCGAACTTAAATTTACGCAACGAATTGCCCGCTCGCTTCGATTGCTCCCTCAGGGTAACGGCCCTCACGTAGTTGCTATACTGCGTCATCATGGCCAGCAGTAAGCGATTGACAGCCAATCTCACAGGGAAATCCTTGCTGTTCAGCATATTCTTGCTCACGATGTGCAGCAAAGCCTCGGTGGGCAAGCACACCTCCTTGATCCAATAGGTAAAGTCAGTTAGGGTCATCTTATCGAGGGCAACAGATAGAGAGCTCGGAGGCAAGACTTCAATGATCTGGGCCAGCATACCGATTGCTTTTGGTAATTCAGTCGCTGGCATATATATAGGATTTACAATCGAGGAGAAATTCCGTACCGTATGCCTGCCTAGATCCGGACAGGCCTGCAGCGTCTTGAGTATCAGCTCCTTCTTGAGCGGATCATTATACGGGCGAAAAAGAGAGCCCAACACTTTTCCTTGCAGCTTGTTGTGTT